ATACCCTTGCAGGGTTTTATAAAATTAATCATTGTAAAATTCATTTCCAGTTTTAGTTTACAGCCAAGAAATCAAAGCAAAGAACACCAAAAATGGCCAAACCACAAATGTGGATCGTATTCTACAATTTCGGTTCTGCGAGAGAGAAGTTTCCTTCGTTTGCTTTTACATTTTACTTCAAGCGCAAGAATCTGAAACCAAAAGCCTAACGAGGAAAAGCCAAAGAATTGAGAGCTCTTTGTTTATAACTAATTCTTAGCTTTACATAAATAAACAAATAAATAATAAGCCTAAGGATATTTTGTATATATATATCTTATATATCTTATATTTCTTATAAAAATTCTATATAATTTTAGATATATATATAGTAATTTACAAGGTATAATTCGCTTTCATCAGCTTACAGTCAGTGTGACATCCCATTGTTTTTTTTTTTTTTTGTTTTCTTTCATTTTTTATTACAATATTTAGCTGGCTCTGAGGTGTGGCACATGTGTGTGTGAGTGTGCGGGCGGGTGTGGACACCACCGTGTGTGTGTGTGTGTGTGTGTGTAGTTGTGCGTGTGTGTTGACCCTCATTTGGTGACATTTAGTGGCAGTTTTCAGCAACAATGTCAACGCTGCTGCGTGGGTGTGTGTTCCAACTGGTGTGTGTGTGTGTGTGTGTGTATGGATATTTGCGTGTGTGAGCGTCATGCTAAACATGTGAATCCCCTCAGCCCCTCTCATGGCTTTTGGTAGTTTCTCCCTTTGTTTTTTTTTTTTTTTATTTATTTATTTAATTTTCGCCTGCCTTTTTGGCTTGGCTTTAATTTTATGATTATTGTTTTTTTTTTTGTTTTGCGGCCGGCTTTTGTTCATTTCTTAAGTGGCGCTTTATAATGTTGACAGTTTTATTGAGGCGCAAAATGTGTTGGTCATTTCTGCCTTTGTTTTGTTATTTCCCAAATAAAAAAAAAACGAAAAAAGGGGAGCGAAAGAATGTCTCCCAGAGGTATGACAGATACATAAGGGTTTTCAGTTTTGTTTTCTGTTTTGTTTGGGGCGAGGTCAGGCTGAGGTTGGAATGTTTATTTGCTCTGCTCTCGAGACAACAACTTCGGGGGAAAAAAAAAAGACGAAACGATCCCGGCTAAGCTATAGTCAGTCAGGGGTTAAGTTCCCTCATTTGGCAAATAACAGATTTCATTGCATGCTTTCGGGCCCAAATTGGCGGGCTAACAAGTTGGGGAATAGTGAGACTTTCGGCAGGACTAAGCCGCTGGAAATGGCCATCAAAACAAGGATAAGTAAACCAACTTATGGCTCACTAAAAAGCAAGAGTATTGCAGCGTTTTATATAAACAATTGTGGGGTTTATTAAGCAACTAATAAGTTTGGGAAATATGTTTAGGCTTTAGTTTAATTTTTTTTAATAATTTTAATACAGTTATTTATCTAACAACCAATGGTATTGCATCCTTTGGTCCTCGAACATTGATGTTTACCCTCCTCAAAAATTATTGCATACATTACAGGGCATTTCCGGTGTGCGTTTTTCCAAGGCTCTCTCTCTCCTTCTCTTTCCTGGTTTTTCCAAGCTCCCTTGCAATGACAAACTTTCCGCATTAGCAAACAGAAACTGTGCCATACATTAGGGCGCTTCATTACCCACCTTTGCAGGATCTCGTATACAAATAAGGCTCCTGCGCCTTTATTGTTGCTCTGCCTGTGTTTCTCCGGTTTTTTATTTCCATTTTTTTTTTTTTTGGTTGTATGATTTTGCGGCTCATTTGGTTTTATTAAAATTTGCACGTTTTTCACGCTTATCACCGCTCACAAGCTTTGATTGTGGCTCATCCCTCCCCCCCGCCGGCACATCCTTTTTGGCCCAGAAGACATCATCATCATCATCATCCCTTATGTGAGCTTTAACTTTTATGCTAATTTCCGAAACTGAAATGAATAAATGTCTTTTCGGTTGCGTATCCATGCCGCCTTTTTCCTTGCCTTTATTATTGTTATGGAAATTTTTATAGTTTCCCCATCATTTAGCCGCCACACACAAACACACATATACCGACGTCTAAACGCTTTTTCAATTCAAAAGTTGCCGAAACATTTTCTGGGAGGGCGAACAAAAAAAGGAATATGTATATGCATATCCCAGCCATAGCAATTTTGCTGTCATTTGTTCTAAGCGAATTGTGTATGCAATAAATAAAAATTACACGTTCAACAATTTCTATCTGGGCGCCATGATCTCTTTTTTAACAATAGCCACAGCCCGGCCAGGGTTTCCGCCCTCACCTGCCGACCCTTTTCTTTTTTTTTCCGCCAGCCCTTTGTATCCTTCTAATTGGATATGTTCAACGTTCGACGTTCGTCTTTGACTTTGGCCTTTGACTCGACCAGGCAACGGGGTTGAATTCCTTTAAAGGATATACCAAGGACCAAGACGGGGTGGGCGGATGGCGGATTGAAAGAAAAATGTCGCTGGCAACTCTTTTTTGTGTTGGGGGCAACCCTGCCGGGCCAATCAGAACTTATGTTTACCCCAATTAAGGTGAACACGAGACCGTTTTTGCGATCCAATGAGTTAGAAACAAGATAAAGGACCCAAAGCCCGAACAATAAGCCCAAGTCCTGCTGCTGCTCCATCCGGGCTCCCTGCTCCTTGGGCTTCCTGCTGCCTGTTTTTAGGTCCTTGTTCCTAGATCCAGCCACTGCTGGCCACACTGTGCAAATATTTCAGCCAACTATTACGGCTTTGTTGTATGTCTTAAGGAGTATCTGGGATTTGTATTTACAGTAAGTAAAAATTCTTAGTTCGAAATTTGCAATTTTTTAAGGCAATTCCTAGCCCCCTTTGGTTATTGGTGTCCAATTTCTTTCAGTGCCTGGCAGTGGCAGTGCTAGCCGCCTGCTGCCATGCATGTTTATGTGTCCTCGTCCTTCGCACAACAATGCCACAGGATCGCAGGGCTGGGCGATGGAATGGGGCAAGGACCAGCTCTGAATGCCGGAGCAATGATTAAAAATTGTGCAAGCGTGTGGCGGCCAGCGATGTCGATTGCGGTTCAACTTTTAGTCGCAAAACGGCGGCACACACTACACCCCACACACCACACACTGGGGTGGGGTGGGTAGAGAGCAAAAGGATACGAGCCTCGGCTTGGAAAAGTCGCAAAATCCAAAAACCAAAGTCGTTCGCTTTTATTGTCATTTGTATGCGTGCTGGCCAACATTCGGCGACGAAAAGGGGTGCGGGTGCCGAAAGGGTCTCCTCCCTGGCCAGAGGCGGAGTGCCCAAAGCCTGCCACTTGAGATGCCAAAAGGAAAAGCCACCGGGCTCAGGGTAAAGTGCAGCTAAAAGAGGTAAATAAAAAGGAGTTGAATTCGGGAATTAAATAAGTTTTTCCTGGGATCAGGAGATCCTCAACAAATAAAGGCCTTGAATTATGATCCCACGCATAAACTGTATTTTTCCTTAATTTTCTAAAGGTTTAAAAAAATGGGTATGATATTTCACGACCTGCCCTCGTGACTCACGCTCTCCGCTGTCGTGAGCCGCTTAGTTCCGCTTCTACTTGGGTGCAGCTTTAACCCTTTCCTGCCGGCAGCCGGCAGCACGACCAGCTCTCGATTCAGCCTCAAAATACTCATTAGCCATAACGACCGGCCTCCATGGAGGCCTGAGGGGGGGAAAGGGAGGCTGGGAGAGGGGGTAACGAAGAACGAAGGACGAAGGACATGCCCAGCTGTGTCGATGTCGATGCCTATCTATTGTCAGCCATCAGCCACGCATGCAGCGTCGGATCAAAGGACCAAGGAGCTGGAGATGGAGCCGCAGGGCGAGTGGTGCTCCTAGTTTCCCGGCTTTTGTCCTGCCGGGCGGCCGATTGCCATAATGCACTAAGCGAAAAGTGTGTGTATGTTTGTAAGATTAACAAATAAATAAAGTGAGTTTTAATTTAAATCAAAGCTCTACTTGAAATATATATTTATTTCTTGCTTTCAAGCCAAGTTTCCAGCAATTATTCTTTGCAATTTTCTTCCAGTGTAGATCGCAGCCTATCTGCGCCTTTCCACTATTTACACACGGCTCATTTTATCTAGTTCGATTGGCCATTTATCTGGAAATGTTTTGTCTGTGCTTACCTTTCCCTGGCTCCCGGTTCCATTTTGAATTTTGCCCCTTTAATTGGAGAGGGAGACTATCGGTTTTTGAATCTTAATTTTGTTGAACGGAGGAGCTGGAGCTGAAGCAGGAGCATGAGAGCTGAAGCAGGACAGGCAGGCAAAAGTTAACTAAGCAAAAGGCATACAAGAACCCCGACATATATGTCTGGGGCTGAATCGCAACAAATGGAAATTTTGTCAAGCCTGAAATCCTTTTATAATGACAAAAGGTTTCCACCTCTAAGCCGATTACAGCAACAGCAACTGAGTCAGTGGCAATGGCAACTCCAGGTAATACTTACCCCAGAGCACCTGCTGTTTTAACAGGAAAATGGAGATGGAAGTGGATTTCGAAGTGGAGCTGAAGGCAGGTACCTGCCTTTCTAATTAGTTTCGAGTGCAAAAGAATATTATAATATATAAATGAAAGTCTGGAAATCTAGTTGATTGGTGATCAAAGATTTAATAAATATAATTTAAAAGATAAATATAAAATATAAAATTATTAATGGTAAAAAAAAATTTTAAAATCACTTATAAAGCTATGGATATCTTAAGTTTTACATATCTAAAAAATATTATAAAAAATGCAAGATAAGTATGTAGATGTATTAACTCTATATAAACTAAAACAATTACATATTACATTACGATATTATAATTTAAAATTATAATTATTATCATTGATAGTCGATTGATAGTAATTAAACCTTAATTGATTACGGTCCCTGCATTTTTATTTTATTATTATTTTGATTTACTTGGTAATTTTCTTAAAGAGAAGAAAAAATCTAAGAACTCAAATTTATTTTTCGCACTTCTATTATATTTATTATAAAACATTTAAAATGTATTTAATTTACTCAACTATTTATAGATAATTTATTTAAATATTTATTTTTAATGACGTCTCGAATTCGTTGCCTTTTCAAGGAACCCCAAAAGGGTCCAAGCCCGTGGAAATTCCACAACTGCTTGCGATCTTTCTGGGTTTCCTTATTCATTTCTTCCATGCTTTTCTTTGTGTTTTTCCCTGTCCTTTAGCTTTGGTCTTGGGATTAATTGGAAAGGTATAGAGATTTGAGATCTATGATTACCATTCTTCTTCACTCTGGTCATCCGGCAATATGAAGCGCACCTGTGGCCCCTCAGAGGTGGGCAGGACATGATGCGTGACGGGCGGCTCGGTTCCGGCCAGGCGGAAGCCCCCGCCGGGATTGTGGTGATGAGCGATGCTCATGTGGCTAAGCAAATTGTCGACCCTGGCCGGATGGGCGCTCGGCACCGCCACGCACAACGGGCAGATGACGGCAGTGCGGGCGTCGCTGTGACGAATCCGGACATGCGCCATCAGCTCGTCCGCCGAAAAACCCAGCTCACCGCAATTCGGGCACGTGAAGCTGTCGGCGCACAGGTCCGGAATTGGCTCGCCGGCAAAGTGGAGCTCCATGGCACCCTGGTCCAGCAGGCACTGGAAGGGATGGCTCACGTCGTGGCCCACGCCCCTCAGGCCGAACTTGTAGCAGCGGGCACACAGGTCGTAGTCCGCGCAGCGCAGGCACTTGTATCTGTAGTCGAACAGGCCCCAGGTCTGGCAGTGGTCGCAGGTCACCTCGAAGAACTGACTCATGTTGTGGGGTCTGATCGGAGACCAAAAGCCGGAAACAACAAGTATGAAATTACTGAGGAAATATCTATGACAATGCTGGCTACTCAAGGATCGTTCCAGATAATTTCGTGGGCCTCTAAGCCAGGAAGGATCTAGAGCCTCGAATTTATAGATCAATCTATAACTCCTCTTGAAGGTGTCACTGTGGAATAAATAAATAGAGTTCCAAATATCCAAACTAAGAACCAAGATTTTAAATAAATACAAAAATTAACTACTATATCTGAGACACAGTTTCTTGTGCTTCTACTTACCTTTTATATGTTTTATTTAGCTAAAAAAATATATATATTTATATAGTGAAATTTCCTAACTCTCTTGGTAAAAAATTCTGTAAAATAGTAATTCGATTGTCTCTGCGTTTCTTGTGAGCTTGTCGTTAGATTTTAAACAAATTTCTTTGGCCACAAATATTGTTTTATTAAGTTTTTTAGTTGTTATTCAAAGCTAAATTTTCACACAGAATGAAATCTTTAAGGAGACAGAAATTAGAAACAAGCAACGAAGCCTGCTGAGGTAAGAAAACAAAGGTATCCAAGGGCCTACTCGATATTCGGACTATCGAACAAGTTCCACCGATAGGTCGGTGTAAATATACCATAAAGATGTTGATTGTCATCTATATAAAATTCCATAAAAACAACTTGACATCTAGTAGTCATCGCTTCAAGTGTCTCTTGAATTCTGTGCAACTTTCTATAAAGATTAGCTTTTGTGAACAAAATAAAAAACCGTAAGTATTTCTTTTATAGGATCCTTGTTCCTGATGTCTCATTTTTAAATATCAAGGGATACCCAATATGGCTCAGTTTTCACTTTCCTTTTTTTAAGGAAAAGCAGCCCAAAGGTTACCCCCTACAGTAAATAAAAATACGGTTAAATAATAATTGTATTTGATAGATACCTAGAGCAGAAATAAAAGCTTTTCCTTGCAATTTGTATTTTAAAAGATTAAATAATACCCTACCCTATACCAATTTTATTTTCGGTGCATATACAAATGTCGAGCCAGATATGTTTAGGCTAGAGTTTCCCCTTCGGCATGCCCCTCTGCCCCGTTTCGGTTTCGTTTGTTCGCGCTTTGTACATAAATTTCATGCAAATTGACTAATTAATTTTTGCGCAATGGATTCTTATCGCGCCATGCACTGGGCAATATATTTAATATTTGCATAATGCATGTGTATTGGCTCGGTTCAGCCGGGTTCAGTTTGGCCCCAGATCGAGTTCAAGGGGGTTTCCCTACCCCCTGGGATAGGACAGTGGCGAATGGGTGGACGAAGCCGGCCCACGCACCTTGGCCTAAAGCCGAGGTTACTGCACTGAACAAAAAAAAGGGCCTACGAAGAAATGCTGTACAGCCGCCCTTTTGTTTTCGATTTATTAAAAATAAAAATATTTTGTACTTTACATCTAATATTAAAATACGAACTTTAAACATTTTCGATTGGCTTTTTCATTTGGCCAACAAAAATTCCAGAAAATCCGTTTTTTTTTGCCAGTTACTCAGGAAACACTTGACTCTATTTTTAGGAAATCTAAAAACAAGTTTAGCTCTAAAACTGACTTAATTTTGTCCCATAAAACTGAACTCAGTATAGAGAAATCTTTATTATATTTATAAGAAAATTTGTAAAGCTTTAAAAATATATATCACCACTCAGTTTTCTTTAAGTGTACACCTCCTCGGTGGTGCGGTAAAAACAACAGCCATTTTAATGACGGATATTAAGCATAACCACACAACTAAACCGAAGAGCCAGGGGCGGGGGGACTGCCGTGGCTTTTTGGGGACTCCTTTCATGCCCGGGCGCAGTCGTAGCCCGGGGAAAATGCACAATGATTTTCTCCGCGCTGCTCCTGCTCCCGCAGGACAGCAACAGCGACAGCGACAGCGCCTGACTTTGAGCCTGCCAAATATGCTGATTGCAGCAATAATGATGATTATGTTTGCCCTGCATGCGCGGCTCGAATTTGTTAGCCACAACGGAAGGAAGTCGAGAGCATTGACAATGCCAGCGACACGAAACAAACCCCGAATCCTCGAGTCCTCGCGTCCCCGAAGGGCGCGCTCGCCCCAAGGAGGGAGCCCGAAAGGGGTGCTAGTGCCTGTGGCAGTTCCTGTGCCAGCATTGCAGCCACAATGACGAGCTGCAAAGGCATTTAACGACTTGCAAATGCGACGGCTCCTGCAACTTGACTAACTGACAAACTAACTGACTGACTGACTGACTGACAAACCGACCAACTGACAGCCGACAAATGCAGGGGGAATATCCAACGGACTCGCTAGCGGCAGTTAAGGAAAATATTACAAGACAGCAGGACAGCAGCTCGCCAAGGGAAATACACTTTCTCAAGGGAAAATTAATTTTTAAAATTTTTAATAAAATTCTAAAATATTCTTTTATCGATTTCCTAAGTTTTATATTTAATTTTATAATTATTTGATTTTTAATTACATTTTAAAATAGTTTTTTAAATGTTAAATATTTTTTAAAACTTATGGAAAAGTTTCAAAATTATATAGCTTTTTTTTGAACTTTTAGTTTATTTTTAATAATTTATTAATCTATTAAAATAACCAAATAACCCCTATTTGTATAGGGAATACACTGTGCAACAAAATTATTGCATTGCGTGCATAAACTTTAGCAAATGGGCCTGCGTATCCAAAACGCAGTTAGCTCCCGCTCCCGCTTCCTTTTTACCATTTCCCTTACCCTTACCCTTACCCTTCTCCCCCCTTACCCTTACCCCATTTTTTCCCATGGCACTTTGCCATTTTAGCCCTCGGAAAACCGGCTTTTCTATTCCGGATGAGTCTTGGGCTGTGTGGCCATATTAGCAAAGTGAATTGGTTTTTATTTGTAACGGAAATGTGGAAAATTATTTTCAGCTGTTTGGTCGCTCGGTTGGTCGTTTAGTGATTTGCATAAGTCGCAGGTGACAGTCGTCTCTGTTGGTTCCCAGGCACACCCTACCCCCCTCCTCCCCTCCTGCTCTACACGGGAAGAAAATAAATTATATTTTAAAAAGATATTTATAGAGCTAAAGAGGGTGGATATTAATATTAATAGAAAGCATTTTTCAAACAAATGTCCCATTTCTTGTAAAAACAAGGTGAGACTTTGGAATTAAGTCCTGGAATATACTCAATATATTCTCTAAATGTTTTAAAATATAGATTTTGATATTCTTCCCCCAAGTTTCGAGTGTCTGGTAGAGTGGCCTCCGCAAATTTAAGAGCAGCAGCTGTGGCTTAGCCCGACTTGCCTCTTACCATGTATGCCCAAAGCGGCTTAAGTGCGCAATGGGAACGGGAATGCGAGCAGGAACAGAACCAGGACCAGGACCAGGACCAGGACCAGGACAAGATATTCCGGAATCCAGAAAATCAGAAGCGCCACTCGGTGTGTCCTCAACTCATTTGCTCTGCTTTGGCAACGGCTGACCGGCGGTGATAACAGCTCCCGGGCAGATGATTCGCAGCCGCGGACTTTCCTTTCGCCAGTTATAAACACAAGACACTTGAGTCCCCAGCGCTTGTTTACGTCTCGAAATTATTGTTTTTCGCAAAAGGGAAAAATACCACAATAACAAAAACAACAACAACAACAACAACAGCATCGAAAAAATTGTAATAAAAAGCTGGAAACTCCAGCGAGGGGCGGCGATCGGTGGCGAGGCAAAGAACTTGAACCGTAAGCGGATTTTCGCCATTTGCCATCTTGATGATTGATTCAATCCATATTTTATTTCGCTGGATTTTTTAGGCCATTTGCCAAGCGGTTTTCAGTATTTATTTATAGGTTTTTATATTCTTTTTTTCTTTATTTGGCACTCTGAACACCCATAAATTGTATGTTTTAGCTAAGGGGAAAAGCAAACAACAAATTAAAGGGAAATCCATTTATCCATCGCATTGTGCATTCTGTATAAAATTATGACAAACTTTAAGTGGGTTTTTTAATTTTATTAATTATATATCTTTCTTAAATATAGAAAAATGTAATTTTTAGATTGGAAAAAGTAACAAGTTTCTTTATTTTATAAAAATGTTGTATAAATCAGCTTGAAATAAATTCTATATCGATTCTCTCAGTACCAAAATATCTGTTGAAATTTCTAGTTTCCAATTGCAACTGAAAGATACAAATTTATAGAAATGTTTACAGTCAACTTAGGCGTATCATATTCCATAATGCCACGAAAGCACAACAGAACGAGGCAAAGAACGCAGTATACACACCGAAGTGTTTGCACCCTTTCACTCCCTGCTCTGTCAGAGGCCACTTCCGGCCGGTGTCATTACCGACATGCACTATTTCGGCTATTGGAGTGCCCGCAAATGTACTACGAACGACAGAAATGGAACTTGGCAAGTTAATTCAATTTATATTTCATTCCGTGACGTTTGGCTGGAGGCAGATGGATGGATGGGCTGCATGCAGCAGCAGCAGCAGCAGCAGCCACTTTTCAGCCTCCAGGAGCTCCCCCGATTTTCCGGCACTGAGGTGGACTGAAGCCTTCTCATGAATTTTCCACTATTTTCCTCCTCCCGATTTGGGCCGTGTCCTCTTTGGGTCTCTTTCGTTTGCTGTAAGTTTTTATGCATGTGGCCATTAACTGGCGGCTTTTACTCGATCTTTGGTCCTCACTCCCGGTCCTCAATATCGAAGAGGCGGTCATCAACATTGCAACATTTGCCGGCTTGACTTGCACTCACTGCTCGTGGGAAATCAGTTTAATGGAAATTATAGCATTCGATTACTTTTCAAACTAAGCACAGACCCTTCTCCAGGCCCATTTCCATCTCTGTGCCTTGGCCTAAGTGGCTGAGATTGCGGCCTCTCTCTCTCTCTCTCAATGTTTATCAGAGTTTTGTCAAATGCCTAAGAGTATGCAGCAAAAGAAAAGGAGGAAAGGCAGGAAATGCCAGGTGCCAGTGCGGCAGGCGCTGGCCCGGAAAATGCTCCTGGCCGGGGCACACTCCTCCTGCCAATTCTGCCGTCTAAGTGACAAACCAACGGACACTGCGAATGCCCACAGAGAAGGACAGGTGCACAGCCCAGAGAAACCCAGGAGGAGCGTGTGAAAAAGAGTGCCGGGTTAAATTACATTATCTAATCTGATTATTTCGGGGATGGCGCTGATTAGAATGGACAAATGCCGAGTCGAAGCGATAGGAAAACGCAAGAATTTTCAGCTGAAATTCTTGAGAATGCAGTTCATTTTCGCCTTACCTTATTAAATAATATTTTTTTCCCTTTAAAGCTTACAATTCCCACATATTTAATGGAAAGAATTGGTATAATTTAAAGCAAAAAAATATCTGGACTCTGCCTTAGTGTACTCCCCGTTGGGCTGTCAATTCTTTTACTCTCCATGTGTATATCCTGTGCCTTTATTTCAGGACTACGTGATGACCTGCCCCCTTTGCCGCACCCACGTGCGTCCGTGTGGCTGTGAGAAGGTCACGTGGCAGCACTCGCTCCCCCCGCCCGCCTACACCTGCACCTGCAGCTGAACAGCAGACCCCAACACCCTTTCCATGGCCTGTCGAATTTCGACATTGAGTTTAATGAAGTGCAACGAGGATTGGAAGCAATTGAAATGCATTTGGCATTTCTCTCAGGGGCAACGGGGAGGGGGGGAAGGGAAGTGGCAAAATTTACAGAGGATGCACAGTGCCATTCCAAAATTTTTTTTGTTTTTTTTTTATATTATTGGGCAATAAATACAAAAATATGTAGGATAAACATAAAAATATGCTTTGAATATTGATTAAAAACTGTACTTTTGTATAAAAAGTAATATATCCGTAGATATAAAATTAAGTAAATAATTTAAAAATATCCAGGGAAGCGTAGATTTTAAGAAAATATACAAATTTGTTAAGAATCTCTTGACTTTAAAGATAAATATTATTTTTTTTGAGTAAATATTACGAAGAAACAAAGAGAAAACTAATATTTAATTTAGTTATAACAACAAAAGAGGTAATATAATACAAAAATAATAAAAAATATAAAATAAAACTTAAATAAATTATATTTTTTTAATAAATATTAATTTTATATTATATTATATTATTATTAACATTTTTTTTCGATGATCTAAACCCTTAAACATGCCACAAAAACCAAACCCAAAAGCACGTTTCCACATGGACACTTTGCAAAGAATTTTCTTTGCGCTGCAAAGGAAAACCAAACGGGAAAATCTGTTCCCACTCTGTTAAGGCACTGTTAAGGATTGCTGCTGCTGGGGCCCTCTGCCTGCGTCAACGGCTGCTGCCAGCGCCTGCGCCTGTCCCCCCCGAATTTCTTCGTTTTCCGCTCGTGTTCGCCTTCGGGGCGGCGTTCTAATTTAGATCCGGCTTTAGATCGCTCTCAGGACTCGGGCTTTAGTCCATGACCCAACTTAGATTCGGGCATAGACCCGTCGGTTCATTCAGCGTTTTGCAGCGCCCAGGAGCGGTTCAAACGGGTCGTATGCGTGATATTATGACGTGTACGCAGGGGTGGCCATAAAATGGCGTAACATTGCAGAAACTAGAATAATGTTGTCAGCACAAAATTTGCATAGAGCCAAAAGGTGAAATAGGTGGTTTATTCCCAGCCTTTTTTTTTTTTTTGGTTGCTAAGGATGACAGATCCACTCCACAGACGGTGGAGGAGGCAGTCTTCGGACTCAAAGTTATTCCGCTCATTACTGCGGCGCTTATGATGGTAATTCTTGGCCATCTGCAAATTGTTGGGCTGAGAACCCGGAGATTCAATAGTTTCTAGAGCGAACTTTGCTCTGAATTAAAATGGCAGCTGGAATGAAGCTTCAACAAGTTGAAAGATATTCGAGAAGGTTGGCTGGCCGGGATGTTCCCGGAATGATATCCAGGATGACTGACAAAAGTTTGACTTGGTAATTGTCTTCATGTGTTTCAATGGCCATAGAAGTTGCTTGCTTGGAGTTCCAGGAATCCGGTCCGGGAACTTTCCCCTTATAAGCCGAAGCTGGAAAATGTTTAAGAATTATTTGATGAAGAACTAATTGGGGGGCAAAAAGACATCCATTCGGGGCCTTTAAGCAATACAAAAGGAAATCAACAAGAGATAAAAATTATTTTAAAATTCAATTTAAGGTTTTTTGAATAAAATACAACCAAACTTTAATTTATTTTCTATTAAATAATAATTTTTCAACTTTTATCAATTTTAGTGTCGAAGATATCGCCAGCATCAGTAAAGGCAACTAATTAAAAACAAATAACCCGAAAGAAAAAAAATATAGCAACTGTCGCCATAAGGAGCTGTATAAAATAAACAAGCGTGCAAATAAATTATAATTATAATAGTAATAAATAAAAGCAAATATCGCAAGTGGCGATGAGACTCCGCGCAGCGGTTTCACACGCAATTAACATATTCTCTCTGTTGCATTTAAATTGCTGCATATGGATTACGCGGTGGTTCTTGTACGACCTGAAATCCCCAAAGCCATCTCCGCCCTTTCATACACCCACCACCCACCACCCCATCTGTGCTGCTCTGTGCGTTCTTTGCTCCTTCACTTCGGCATGCTTTTTTCGCGGTGCGTCGTTTTTTAATTACTTTCTTTTTTGTTGCGCGCTTTTTATTCAATTACTTGTACAAATTGCAAACAGACAGCAACAAAAAGAGCGCAGGCAACAAAAAAATATATATATAAGGGGCATCAGGTGTGCGGATAAATGTCGCAATTTGTATGATATTCCTCAATTCCGTCACTTTGCAGTCGCATTAAACAATTAACAAGTGTAATTGATAAACAATTAGCGGCATTATGAGCGAGCCGCAAAAGCGTGCAATGCCACAAAAAAATAAAAATAAAATAAATAAAAACAAAAAATAATACCCACATATAAACAAAGGAAAATCAAAGAGAATTCAAAAGAAAAGATTACCCTGAACTATCTAGTAAAGTAAAAAATTGTATAAAGCTATGGGAATTTTTGTTTATTTTTTGTTTTTTTTTTTTTTTGTAAGATACTTTAAGTAATTTAATAAAAAAATAATATTATTTATAATGTTTGTATTATTAGTTCAGGGTCATTTTAAAATAATATTTCATGTTTTTGATGTAAAAGGTGCCCAAGAAAAGCTAAATAAAGAAAAATCCTGTCGCTTATATTTTCCCTTTCCCGCAGAATATTTATTTTCTAAAGATTTATTTCCCCAGAACAAGATATTAATTAAAGAATTAATACAAAATAATAGCTGCTTTTTTTCTAAATACAAATTTCTATATTACGAATTTCTAAAGTAATATTTCGCATCCCACGTAACTGCTTGCTAGGGCGAGACTAATTTGTTTATAGAACCAAACAAGTCTCAGAATCAAAATCCGCTAATGACCATCACAAACAACGCGATAAGTTGGCGCAAAAAAAAAACACCATTTGATATAATACACTGGCATATTTTTTGATATTTTCTAGGAATTTACTTATATTTTTGTTTGCAGCAAAAAAAAACGCTGGAAATTGTACTGTAAAAACAAATAATTTATATTTAAATATTACAAAAAAAAAATATATATATAAAGTAATTAAATTTCAATATTTACATAATAATAAAAAAAATATATTTGCATATATTTAAAACCTCATAAAATTCTTTGCCCATCCATGGACCCCACAACTTCGGTTGTAGGGCATCAAGAAAAATCCCCGAAAACTAAAAACGTGTTCATGATATTTCAATGTATAATGAGAATTTTTAGACGTTTTTCTAGCGGCAAGCCCAAAAACCAGTCGTGTCCAACCTCGGCGGCAGTGGGGGTAAGGTGGGTCTATATATAAGCAAATGCCCGGCGATGATCTCCATTTAGTTGTCGAGCCAAGTGAAGCCAAATCACACGAAAATGCGCTCAGCCCCATTGATAATGGGCCTTCTATTGGTGGCCAGCTGCTGCTCGGTTATGGCCAGGCCCCAGGAGGACTCCAGCAGCTCCACCAGCACCACCAGCACCACCACTACCACCCCAAAGCCAGAGGAGAAGTCCAGCAGTAGCAGCAGCACCACAACAAGCACTACGACGACCTCCACCACTGAGAAGCCCAAGGCGGAGTCTACTGCTACGAGCACCACCAGCAGTACGACGCCCCAAACGACACCCAGCACCACCAGCACCACCAGCACCACTACAACCACAACCACCACCACCACTCCGAAACCCGATGACGAGGCCGCCAGGCTTTTGCAGCAATGCGCCGAGTTGAGACGCCGGAAGAAGCGCGGCGGTTCGTCCTCCTCCGAGGAAGATAGCGGCGAGAAGAAGTCTGCGAAGAAGGAGCGCAAGCAGCTGAAGAAGCTCTGCAAGCAGCTGAAGAAGCAGCAGGAGCGGAAGGAGGAGAAGGCCCAGAAGTCGGCCCTAACTGATCTGGCCGAGGCCCTGCGAAACTACAATCAAAAGCAGAAGAATTGAGCTGAAAGTCTTCTATAAAAATCTTTATTATAATTTTGTTTATTTTTTTTTCTGTTACCATAGAAAGCAAATAAAGAGTTTGAAAATTATTTAAAAAAAAATTAATAAATTAGTAAACCTAAAACAAAAAATAGTTTGAATTCTAATTCGATTACTCAAATATATTTCAAGGGAACTTACAACTGGCTTAGCTTGTTTTATAATACTTTAAGACAAATATAATTTATAAATAATATTGAAAACTAACTAAAAACCATAGAGGTCTCATATTATTTTAATTAATTTAATTTTAAGTTTATATTCATAATTATAAAGATTAAACCAAGGTTCAGACCAGTGGGATTTTTTGGCAGAGTTAAATATTATAAAGAAATTATTATTAAATATTATAAGCAGGCTTAAAAGACACCTTAAAGCACCTTAAACAATTAAATAAATATTTCTTGATATTTTGTACACTTTTTTATTTGATTTGTTAACCATAAAGCTGCAAATTTTAGAAAGTGCAAATAATATCTTTTGACTAAATTAAGTTTGGTTCAGTGATTATCGATCTGCGAAATCAACAAAAAAAAACTATCATTCACATCTTGTGTGGGTGAAAGTTATTTACTATATTAATTTATGTCTATGCATAAATCTATTGTTAATAGAAATTTATAATTTACTTTTTTATAATTTATTTCCCGCTTAACTAGATGTTGCTTACACATTTATTGCCGACTTAATAATGATTTATTCTTGTATTGTACACCTTTTTCTTATTACCGCAAATGCCTAACCAGAAATAGAAAATCAAAATTAAACAACAAAAATATATATAAAACTGGTTTTGGGCCCCCCTGACAAGTTTATGAAGTTACAGCTATGTATGTTTTACAAGGGATTGAAAATATTGTAAGCACGAGCGTTAAATTAATATTTAATTGGCTCAGTGTGGATCTTGGAGTTAGCACGTTGTCTATACCCTAGGAGAGGATATGATGCTTAAACAGAAATTACAACATTAATAAAAATAATAAATAAGTAATATTTCACTTGTCAGAGCATTCAAACTTCGTCAGCTCATAGTTCCAGCTTCCCTTCCTTCTGTTTTCTACATATTTTAGCCATTTCGGCTTTCGGCCAGGTTGCGTGGCTTAAGGTCAATTCGAAAATGTGAGCTGGCCAGAAAAGCAATTTGCATAATCAAAGCATATGAGAAAATCAAGCGCAAAACGATGAGAATCTGTGGACAGCGGCGAAAACCGTAGAAGAAATATGAATGCTAATTAGTTTGAGCCATTGAACTTTGCTTGGTGGAAGGGGGAAACGGGGGCACGACTACACAGGGGAAAAATGGCTACAAATAAATTGGGGGAAAGCTTCTAAAAGAAGGTAAAATACTCTTACGAAATCAAAGAATTTATAGATTAAAATGGAGAGTATTTACAATGTGTTTGCTTTATTTTTATAAAATTTATTTTGTTGTTTTCCCCTTGTTTCTCTCTGTGTATACTCTTTTGTAAAATGGGTCGCCCCTTGGCCATTTCGCAGCTGACACGCTTTGAACCCGCGGACTTAATTATGCAAAAAAAAAAAAAAAGCAAGAAAATAATAGAGATTCTTGGTGAAATGCCGTTAGGGAATGGCGGCCAGAAAGTTAATATAAGCTGGGAATATCGGCCCAAAATCGATTCAGTCGATCGAGCAGAGACGCGCTAACAAGTTGGTCATGATTTGCGGAAAGGGATTTGGGATGATCCTGGTCCTGGTCTGGGCCACGGCCCTTTCCAGCGACCACTCGCTGGTGAGCGGTAAATTTTTTTGCCACCCCCCACAGCCCTCAGCCACAAAATTAACGAGAATGTGTGTGTTTTCTTGCTTTTTTTTCTTGTAAATATGTGGCCGTGTCAAAGGTCAAACGGTGGCTCCCATGACGAGCTCCACTGTGGCTCCCCACCTGGACGAGAAACCAATGATACTGAATGCACCGCCAATGAAGCAAAAGAAGGTGAGTCAATCATACCTTGAAATATATTTTTGTAAATTAATTAAATAACTTTGGAGATGCCCGACATGAAGCCGGAAGCGGATATGAAAACGAAAACCAAGATGGCCAAGCCTAAAGAGGCAGTGGCAGCTGCAGAACCCGCAGTTTCCGCAGTCCCTGCCTCCGGCTCTAAGCCCCTCCAGGTCACTGGCTTCATCACCAAGACCGGCAACATCTACGAGATCGAGGATAGGCGCGGCTCCATCGGCACCATCGAGGGTCGCCAGGCCGTCGAGGAGAAAAAGGAGGCCGATCAGATCGTCTGCAACTATGGCAACGTGGTCATCTACAGCGATGTGCCCTGCGACCAGGTGACCAGCGTGCGCGTCGGCGAGATCAAGCAGATCAAGGAGGATCAGTCGGCGGCAGCGCCTCCGGCGGAGAACAATGCCGAGGGAGGCCAGGGCGAGGAGCAGCAGGCCTCTGAACATCAGTCGCAGATGACGCCGCAGCAGGAGGACGACTCGCAGCAGGATGAGGAGGATGCTCAGCCCCAGCAGAATCATCCTCGTCAGCAGCATAACAATAATCGCCGCCGTCGTCGTCGGCCACAGCAGCAGCGACAGCAGTTGCAGCAGCAGCAGCGACGCCGTCGTAGACAGCAGCAACAGTTGCAGCAGCGGCGACGCAATGGCTACAACAACAACAACAACAATGTGCGTCGTCGTCGCAATCGCAATGGCAACAACAGCCTGCGACGCGGTCAGCAGCAGCAGAGGCGTCGTCGCATCAACAACAGCAACAGCAACAACAGGAGGCGCATCAACGGCAACAACAACAACAACCAGCGACGCCGGCAACAGCAGCAGCGACGTCGCCGTCTCAACAACAACAACAACAACAACCGCAATAGGAATCGCAACCGTCAGTAAAACTGACCAGCGGTTAAGAATAATGACCAGGCCAGGGGTTAAGGAAACTGTCTTTTCAAAAATTCAAATAAAATACACCAAACGATAGTTGAGTCTCTCTTTTTATTATTAATTAATTTATAAACTATTTATTATTTATTTTCCTTGGATTTTCTTCTAATAAACAGTCTTACAAGTAGCATTTTCCATTTCCCTTATAGATTTTATAAATTTTAAATAATTTTTAAGCGTTTTTGGAATGCAATTTGTTAGAATTTTGTGGCGACTTTGCCTTTTGGTGTTGCCAGCTTGTCACTTTAATTGTAACTAGATTTTCGACTCAACGACTGTCTGCACATTTATATATTTATAATACATACAAATATATAAATATATATATTTTATATGTGTGTGTATACATGGCTGGGGCTTGGTATTTTTTGCGAAGGGGTCGCCATAGCAGAATGGTGGGGTCGCTTGGGGCTGCGATGTCAACGTCAGCATCAGTTACAAGAAGAAATTTGCGCGCTTGGGCCCAGCGCACTTAACACATAAAACAAACAAATACAACAAAAACAACATGGTATAGGGACAGGGGCGTACTACAGAGGGGGTAGAGTACAGCGAGCCAAGCGCGCCGAGCGCGCCAAGAAAGTCATTCAAAAGTCAACCAACTTTCTTTTGAAACACGTTAAAGAGCAGCACAAAAAAAAAGAAAAAGAAAATCCCGTACACAAGACGAGAAGGGTTTCACGGAGGTGAGGGGGGTCCTAAGGGGGCTGGTGTACGGTGGGTGGGGGGTGGCATAGGGGGACAGGACTATGATGTCGCCCCCAACCATCTGCTGTTACTGATTTTCCTTTGTTGTTTGCATGCACAGAGCGAGCGAAGAAAGGACGACTGCACTTCCCAGCTTGCTTAACTACACTGGGCAAAAAAGTATAGCTAACAAGTAAATTTATAGATTTAAAAGTAAATTTAAGTCAGATAGAATTTATATTTTTTTGGAATTACACAAACAAAACTTACACCGATGTAGATTTATGATTTCAAGTAACCCATCTTTTTGGCTTACCTTTTTTCTCTCTGTGTCTGGGGGAGGCGTGGACGTCAAGCAGAGGGTTGCCATCTCTCCAAGGAGCCATCAAAATGTGACGTTGTCGCCGCTGTTGTTGCTGGTGGGTATCGTTGTCATGCGTTGAGCCTGCAAGTTTATCACCTCATTGTTCTTGCACGCCCCTGTCTTCACCCCACCTTTTCAGAGGGGGGAGGGGGGTGCCGGAGCCACCACCCCCTCCTTATGGCTGTTGCTGTTTTGTGGTTTTATCGCTGACTGTGGCAGTTGAGCGAGGGACCGCAGCTGAAACTGCAGTAACTGCAGCAGCAGCAGCAGTAGTACCAGCAACATCAACAGCAGCAACGGCAACAACCGCCGCAGGATTCCACGGCAGCCATCAAAGCCACTCGCAGATGGGCGGGTTTTCAGGGGGGGGTTGGGTTGAACGTTTGCGGTGGCCGAGGACAATGGCCAAGTCATAAATGGGCGCCAAAGGACCCAACGGCAGGAGGCATTTAAGGCCAGCGTCGTCGCGGTCAACGTCAAAACAATTTTCGGTCAATTAACGTTGATCAGGCGCGTGTGGCGCCCTCGGTTGGTCAATCAACGAACAAGGCGGGTAGAAAAGAGTTGCCAGCTTACTTTAAGAAATGGAAAAAAGTAAGCCTAGGGTTGCCCAAGGCGTAGTATATATACTTGGCTTGCAGAAAATAAAAATATATATATATTTTATTCATTTAAATCGATAAAGAGCTGGGACAACTCTGGCTGCTGGTTACCTGCCCGCCAGGGTTGCCGCCCTCCGCCAGACACTTCTCATTAGTCCAGTCAACGAGTTTTTTGCGCCACTCTTGTTATTTTTCGGCGAAGAAAAACCAGAGGGGGGTCGAAAGTGAGTTGCAACTAATTTCAGTTTAATTTGTGTCAGTCTTCGCCGGCGCCTGCTCCCGCTCCCGCCACTGCGCCAGCTCTTTCCGCTTTCTTTATTTTCGCACTTGGCCCGGTTACTTATTATCCTTGAGCGACGTGTAAATGCTGCTAATGACGACGTCAAAAGAAGCCGCCATGAGCAGGATACAAAAGGATACCGGCTCTGGCCTTATCCCTACTCCTCGCCTCGCCTCGCCTTGCCCTTCGCTGCCATTCTTTCGCCTTAACGAGTTCCGTGTTTAATTTGGCGGATTTATTATTTTAATTTGCGCACATTTTGCATCGCGGCGCCATGAGTTTCGATTTTGATTCCATAATTAGAGGCCGCCAGCGGCGACCTTCGGCCCCCGGGCAGCCTGTCATCCCAGAGGCACGGGATGGTGCCCCATTGCCGTCTCAGATTTCGATTCCGTTTCCGATTCTCGATTCCCAATGCCGGGGCCCTTGGCATCCCGCTCATATTTATGACAGTAATGCGCTTATTTTCATGTTAATTACCAGCAGACACGAACGGTTTCGGGCAGCTCAGGTGCAGGCTTAGTTAAAAATACACTGGAACAAATTATGGTAACACAAAATTAATTATTCGAAATTTTCAAATTTGAACTATTCGAATTTTGGTTGCATTTTTGAATATTTTAACGATTTTAAACCTCATAAAATGGTTATACAATTTTTACATTTTTGTTTTCTTTATTTATTTTTTTATTATTTTTTTTTTGTATGTATATAGGTATTCCCGTTTCCATATAAATACACACAAATATCTGTTATATATATATTTATTTTCCCGTTTTAGTGAAACCCTCCCTGCTGAAGTGGAACTGAAAACCTGGCCAAGATTTTTGCCAGGCGATTTAAATAATTGACAGATTTTCGCAACGAACGCCGCTGGCCGTCTTTGTTTGCATAGTCTCAGCTCCCTTCTAGATTGAGAAAGCCGTCTAATCCCCCTTTTGAATCCCAAGCCCACACCCCTGGAAATCCGCGGGAGGTCAATTGAATGGCCTGTCCCCGAATTGCGGGCCAAAAACCATTGCTTGCCTTTGTTCATTGCGACTGTTAAACTGTTTTATCTTTATGCGATTATGTCTGCTGGTCTGCAGGTCTTTCCCCCTTTCCCCCACTCCACCCTTTTCGAACCCCCTTTAAGGTCTCAGCATCACCCACCACCCACCGCAACACTCACTCCTGGCGCGTGAAGGAGGGCCCAACTCTTTGCCCAAAGCATTTGTGTTTAACAAAGTTAAGTAGAAGACGTGCTCAGGCACGTTTCCAGTGCTTCTGCCACCCCAGAGGGATCCCCCGAAGTAAGCGACACCCACCAGCCACCCAGCCCCTGCAGGAGCCACCACCCCCTCGGGCCGAACACCCTTGTTCTACATTTGTGCGCTGTCAATATTAGTGGCTGCCACTCGAAACTTTGCACAATGGCATTGGGGATATTTGAAAAACTGACAGATTCATTGGCGAGCCGGAAAAAAAGGGGAGGGAATTGGGAGAGGGGTGAAATTATGGCATCAATACTGTAATTTATAGCAAGCTTTTCTCCAACACCCCTAGAGGAAGGAAGTCGGGAAGTGCCTGCCACAACAGAAATCTCTTGAAATATATAAAATAATTTTTTAAAAATATCTAAACTTGTCTCAAGTTTATGTAAAATTGTTATACCCTTGCAGGGTATTATAATTTCAGTCAGAAGTTTTCAACATTTCCGACCCTATAAAGTATATATATTCTTGATCAGCCGAGTCGATCTAGCCATGTTCGTCTGTCCGTTTCTATGCGAACTAGTCCCTCAGTCTTAAAGCTATCTGAATGAAACTTGGCATATAGTCTCCGGAAAACTCTCACTGCTACATATATATGACGGAACGGGCTGGATCGAACGACTATATCATATAGCTGCATTACAAATGATCAACAAATTTTTGGATAAACAAATATAACTTGGCTGTTTATCAACATATTTTCATGATTTTTAAGACATGAGCTTTTATTATTATTTTAGAATGTTGGTGTTAATTTTATGGAAATGGGACAACTATATCATATAGCTGCCATTGAAAGGATAGGTAGATGTAGAGAAAATGTAAAGCTGGGAATGTAAAATGCGATTTTTTTTTTCTTTTGTGTAAAAGTCTCATTTTATTGCCAGCTGCTTGTCAGTCCCTGAAATGGGTTTTCGTTAATTCAGTAGTAAAATATATTTTGTGCTAATTTTGTCACAACCTCCCCCCTCGGGCCCCTCACTCTTCCTCTCCATAAACTGTAAAGCCCACTTTTCCCATTTTCCAATTTCCCCTTTGATTCGTTTCCATTTGGAGGCAACAACTTTTTGTCAGTTGTTTTAACTTGGCCTCGGGTAAGGAAAAAAGGGGTGGCTGAGTTTTATATTTCGGGTCGGGGGACGGGGGCTTCTTGCCAAGAAGTTACCCAGGGAAGAAGGGTGGCTGGCTAGCAGGAGACTTTGTGTTATCAGCAGTCAGTTAGTAGCGCAAAACTTTTTAAACGTTTTCGAAACAAGTTGAAATTTAAATAAACCTTTCCAATTTTTTGATGATGCCATTAACTCTTCCGCCGCCCCTCCTTTGGCCCCTCTCATTGTGTTTTATGTTATTTAAAAAAAAAATAAAAAATGATAGAAATTAAAGTCGGAGTTAGGTGTCTTTAAGAAATTTCTTTTAATTTAATTTAAATTATTTTTTGTACCAAAAAGTTCAAGCTTTTTTACATTTATATTTTTAATAAGTAAATAAATAGCCTGTGGCCTACATTTTTTAAGGATCTATTTTCCAGGTCATATTTTTTTCAAAAAAGCTGCAGTAGTTGGTCAAGAAAAAAAAACGGGAAAAATGCCAGCGACAGCTAGAGCAACAAAATAATAAAAAGCCAACTTCTTACCAAGTTGACTTTGACACATTGGGCCAAAACACACAGCTGAACCGATAGAGTGTTAAGTTAGGAGCTAGAAAGGTCTCTCTTCCTGCGAAATATTTATTTATTTGTTCAGCATCAAGAGAAACTAAAACGAACATCGGGAGGAATATGAATTTGGGTCAAAATGTCAAGGGAAACACTTACAAAATATATATATTTCATTGGCATATAGGTTACAATGAAGCAGACAGATGCCCGATATGACATCAGGCCAAATTATTTGTATTAAACCTTAACCCGTGTCTTCTCCCCATTAGCCCCATTAATTTTAACTTATCCGAGGAACGTGTAATTAACATCAGCTCCATCGGCTTTGAAACTAATAAGCCAAGTAAAAAGCATCAGAGAGGGGAAAGAAATAGCCAAAAGAGCCGAGAACAAGACCGAGGCCAGGTCCCAGCCAAGGCGAAGCGAGATTAATGGATTTAATCGCGATGAAAGCGCGAGTTTTTCAGCAAAAATCGGTGATAAGCGCTGGCGATAAGCGCCGGATAAATTGGAGCTCATTAGGCGGGTGCCAAACCCAACCCAACCCAACCCAAGCTATAAAAGTGGCAAAGTTTGACCGGACCCAGCACAGTTTTATCTGCCGAGTCCAGCGAAATGCAGTACCTCAAGCTCATCCTCTTTGTCCTGCTCGCCGGTGTCCATTTTGGCGCTACGGCGCCCAGCCAGAGCAGCTTCATCCTGCTGCCAAGGGCTCCTAACTTTAACTTCCCCGAAACCGAAGGGCCGCATCACGAGCCCAAGGAGAATCCCGAGCCACGACAACTCATCGTTGAGCAGCCCGGTGAACTAACCCAAAAGGATCTGGGACAGCTGCTCCTCTTGGCCAATGGGTTGGGTGTCCAGGGCAGGAGCTCTGAGGAGAGAAACTTCCACGACTTTCTACATGGCAAGAAGGATAAGGACAAGGACCATGGCCACGGCCATGACCGCTTCACGGTCGTCGTTGTATCAACTGCACCTTCCAACGGATCCGTAACCAACATAAACAATACCCTCTCTTCAGATACGGGAGCGACAACGGGAACCCGAATTGCCGACGTTCTCCGGACGCCCATAGCTTATCCCGTTCCCTATCCCATGCAGTATTTCCGGAGACGCGGCGACGAGGATTTTTCCGTGAACTTCCCAGCCTTGTACGGATGGAATGAGGCCTCCCTCTACGGAGGTCTGGCAGGGTCGGGACTGGGAGGTTTGGGTGGCCTAGGAGGCTTGGGAGGTCTAAGAGGCACCTACAATGGCCAGGCTGGAGGGTTAACTGGAGGATTAGGTGGAGGATTAGGTGGAGGTTCAAACGGAGGTCTAAGTGGAGGTCTTGCTGGGGTTCCCCTGGTGCCCATTACCATTGGCAATGAGGTGCGCTATGTGCCCCTCAACCTGCGCATGTTCCGGCAGCTGGTCAGCCTTCCTGTGAGGGAAAAGGATGATCCCCTGGAGGAGGACGATCTCACGCCGTTTAATAAAGAACAAGAGCCCGAGGAGGCCGCTCCTGAAGAGGAGGGAGACGCCCCTGAGCCAGGCTATGCTTCTTTGAGCCAAAAGAGGAAACAACGTCGCCGAAGACCTTTCCAGGCCTTCACCCAGAAAATGCGCCAAGTGCAGTTCTTGTAAACAAAGTGAAGATGGAGATGAAGATGCACCACAACCAGATGACGAACCCAGCTTGTAAACATCTTTTTTTTTTAATTTATGAAATAAATGAAACTATACAAACATTAAAAGAGAGATCATAATTGAATTAAGGATCCATTGGAACTCCATCAATTTTAATTTGCTAGGAAAACAATTCAATCCGTTTTTTTGGGGGGGCTGGAAAATGCCAGCTGGCAAAATTGCAATCCTACAGGAATTTTCCACTCCGAATCCCCACCCCACTATCTGCCACATCCCTGGATGTGTGTCTAATTGATGGCAACATTCTTATGTCGAACCCTCAGCGTCTGTGTCAATAATAATAATAACAGATAGATGTAAACCAGCTCCTTTCCCGCACAGCGGCTGGCAAAAACCTAACCGAGAGACACAATAACAAATTAAATAAATATAAGAAGCTTTTAAGTTAATAGAAAATTCTATAATTGAATTTTGTGCCGAAAACAACAGCAACGGCAACGGCAACCTTCGTCTGAGGGCCTCAGACACTTGAAGAAGATATTTAATCAGAAATGCAAGCGAAATAATAACTCAAGATGGACGGAATTCCTTAGAATATATATACACACAAAAACACGAGCAATTTAAATTATTGATTAGGAGCAAAGGCAAACTAAATGGAATGTAACGAATGCTAAGGAAAAATGTTGAATTGTAGGGAACCTTGTTCTCAGAATTGAATGATTGATTTTTGCCTCTTTTCCAGTGTTTCATTTGCATTGTAAAATAATATATTAAAATAGTTTCTTTGCAATTATGGCTTCGTTTAAATATTTTCCATTTATGCACAGGTTCATGGGATTTTAATTGGTATCTGCCATCTCTGTAACTGCTGAAGTCCTTGGACTTGAAGGGTTCAAGTAAATAACTAACAAAGATTAAGGTTTTTTCCTTAAAAAATATAAATAGAATGTAATTAAAGACTTTTCTTTTTTCCTTTTCAATTCCAATTATTAAAGCCTATGTATTGAATCAGTGTCAGGCTTTTGGGCCACATTTTCCAGCCATTTCCCGGGCTCCCACTTGACCGCAAGTGCTAGACTAGAAATAATAACGAACAATAATGGCAAATGCACAAAGTTAAAGCCAAGGGGAAGCGGGAACGGCGTCAAGCTATTGACACAACACTCTGGATGATTGCGGAAGAACATTTTGCGAGGCTGCCAGCCACGTAGTATCTACGTATCTCGTAGCTTGTATCTTTGTATCTTTGGCCGGGCTGTCAGTTTTGCGTTCTCGTTGCTGTGTGTGCGTGCCAGAGAGCGTCGGCGTTCTGTGGGAAACACTTTTCAAGATTAAAACAAAAAGATTTAAGTGAATTATGTTAAAGTTATTTGCCTGCTGCGATGCGGTGTGGCTCACGCACTCGACACTATCCGACCAGGGACAAGGAGATACATTTCTGGGCATGTAATATAAATATGTGCATAAAAATAAATACACTTTTTGGGGGTAGAACACAGAACAGAGAAGGACACGAACTTCTTTATTTATTTATGCAGGGCGATACTGGGGGGTCTTTGCAGATTTATGTGAGCGCCTGCTTATTGTTGGGTTTATTAGATTTGATTTACTGCTGAAGAACTACATAGTTGAGAGCTTTCTCTGGGCACTTTCCTCGTCACGACTGACACCCGCCCGAAGAGAGGGGCCTAATGATTGCATGTCGGCCTGAGTTCTGAGAGTTTTGCTCCAGCATCACGCGAGATGTGTCACTCAGGGCGAGTTAGGAGAAATCTTTCATTTTAATTGCACTTCCCCGGCACCTATAAGAGCGGCGGTGCTGGGTTTCAGGGAGACCATTGCCCCAGGAAGCCCTGCACCATGCATATCCCCCGGAGGTTCTTCTGCCTGATCGTCATTTGCCTGGCCCTCCTGGCCGGCGTTGAGTCGCGCAGGAGCGGTGAGTTTATACGACTACGTAAATTATTCCTTCCTTTTTTCCAACATCACCTTTTCCCAGGCTACCGCTTGCCAAAGATCCAGGGACGCAGTGCCTCCGACAGCAGTCCCTCGCGTCAGGACGTGGGCAGCGGTCGGGATTTCATGAAGAAGTTCATGATGATGAGGGGTTTGTTCCAACAGCCCAGCGACAATGTGATCATAATTACAAATCCACCGTCCACAACCACAACCACAACGACGGGGAACACGCCAACTTCAACCACAACCACAACAACAACCACACCCACGAGCAACACCACAGGCAGATCTTTCGATGATAAAGCCGAAGTGCAAGAACCTGTACCCGTAGCCACGATGAGTGCCCTAGAAGGCCTGGAGGATCGCCTGGATCTACCGGAGGCAGACCCACTGGTGGTCCAGGAGGTGACAACCCACAAGCCAAAAATGCAAAAGAGATTCAGGGTCAAGAAACTGCAGAGAAGCCATGCGAGAAAGACCCAGGTCCGGCGACACATCCACAGGCACCACAAGAACAAGAGCCAGCGGAGCCAGAAGAAGGTGCCGAAGAGCGGTAAGAATCCAGAGGCGGCAATCGTAAATCACCAACGTAACAGCGAGGTGAACTTCATCGAGCCATATCACAACGATCGGCCCCAGAGGCAGACGAGTCAGTCTGGCTCCGATTCGCGGCTTCAGCGCATCTGGCGACGCTTTCAGATAGCCAACTGATTGGTCGACATGACGAATGTATACACAATATATCTACCATAAATATCTTTTTTTTATTTATTTTTTTTTTGAAGTGTAAAAGGAATTTCTAAAGATATACCAAGAAATTAAACCACTAAATTATTGAATTATTGAGTGACTCTTTCTAAAATATTTTACAAAATAAACTAATAATATCAATCCAACTTTTCCAAATCCTTTACTCTCTATTTATTATTATCCTGCAAAGTACAGACAATTAAACTCAAAAACTTTTCCCGGGAAAGACAACAACAACAACAACAACGGTGACCAGGACAATGGAGAGCAAACACACAGAGATAAAGGAATATGAATATCAACTGCCTGGCATCTTGAAGAGGTTTTAAATTTCATTTTGGCATATTTTATGGCAAATTGGGCAAGAACAAAGGCCATTTATATATAGTATATATAAAGTGTGTATGGAATGCTGACCCTGAAACTTTTCGCGTTGCACGTGAAACAAAATGGCGCGACTGGGAAAATCCTTTTTCCCTTTTTTGCAGAACAATTGATAAGGGAAAAAAGAGCAGGGTTGGGATTAGGCCAAGTCAACGACTTTGCCGCACAATTTTATATAAATAAAATAAGAGTGAGGGGGGCGCTGAGGGCCAGACGAAATATGGCAACATTATATCCTGACTGTGGCAAGTTCAAGGATGTCTGGCACGCCCGTGAACCATGAAAATAAAGCGTGAACCGGACCCGAAAATCGACTTAAAGGAGTAAAGTGTACTTAAAGAAAAAAAAGGCAGGAGATAAAGATGAATAATATCAGAGATAAATCAACATTAAAACAAAATATATTTATTTAATTGATAACTTTGAGGTAAATCAAAAATTAAATGTATTTTGTAGACATTAGTTGTGTACTTATTAAAGAGCTAACATATTTCTCTCAGTGCCTGGCCATTTGTACATTTCTCTCGCTTTCCCCGCCATCTCTGTGCTTTTTTTAATACCCCCGAAATTTGTGTAAATTGGCAAATAACGCATAAATAGCGTTGAGAAGTCCCAGCATCGGGGAATTGAACTTTGGCGCTGCTGTCAGGTTGGCCGGAATTTATTTTCGGCTTGGAGAAGGGGTGACAGGGGGGGACTATGTCTAGGGACCGGTTTCCGTCGATTGATAGCTCTCTGGTATAGGGGTCAGACGTGATCAACCTTAGACAAGATCTCTTCTGCTGTCCCCAATTTCATTAATTACAATGTTTCACTTTTATAAAGATCCAAATAGATCAAAGGTTAAAAATCTAATAAAATAAGAGGCTTATAATTCAAAGGGAAAAGTATATGCATTAATCTGGGAATCATTTAAAAGAGTTTAGTTATGAAAATTAAACCGAAAGAAGTCTTGAAAAAGTTATATTACATTTTTCATCAGTTTAACATATATTTTCACCCGGAATTCGTTTTAATTTAAATGTTTTAATAAATTATAAATTTAAAATGTAAAATAAATTATAAGAAAATACATAATACATAATATTTAACAACAATTTCAATCGCTTTTCAATCATTTTTCTTCAGCCTAGAACTCCTACTAATGACCTTTATTCCAACAAAATTAATACCTTCATGACGTCTGATATGACTGATGTGCAAAAAATACCCCTCTAATTGGCAATTATTTCGGTGAATCCCCCCCCCCAGCAAACCATTGCTGGTCTCAGAGTCACGTAACCCGGGTTGTCCTGGCTTTTCGCCTCAATTTCCTACCCCGCTGGATCTGGTCTCAAGTGGCGCAGACCAGGAATCAAAATCAATACGTCGGGTCGTCGCCATGGCTTTATCCTGACTTTTCTTATAGGTGGTTACCTAGCCGATCTGGGGCTCAGCCTTTTGTGGTGGGCGAGAGGGGCGGTTGCCGGAAGGGGGGACTAAGGCTAAAGGATATTGAAAAAAGGCGCCGCTCGGTGAAACTTTTTTCATTTTTAGTTTGTCAAGTTGGCACAAAAGGGCGGCGACGCCAACTCCAAGTTTTTCTCTATAAAAAGGCAAGGGGGAGGCGGGGTGGTAGTCGAAAAACCCGGTTACAGAGAGGGAACTGGCGGCGGGAGAGGTGGACAACTTAACATTTGCACGCTCAAAATGCCCAAAAAATACAACAAAAAAAAGGAAAACAACAAAAAAGCTAGAGAAAGACGAAAAGGAGCCAAAGGATAAAGGGGCGGACCAAGTGCTAAAGTTGGTCCTAACTCCAAAGGATGCCGAAGGATACCCGCCCGCCGCCTTGGGCCCGGCTTCTTTGTGCAGACAACTGCACTGCACTTTCCCTGGTTTTCCCCGCCTCCTGATGATCTCCTGGTGTCCTGCTGCTCCTTGTGCTGCCTTTGGCCTTCTGCCTTTCAGCTCTGGCAGAAAAGCATTGCCTTCTTTTCGGCAGCGGATTCTTGGCCGTCTGGCGCCACCTAGCGGTCGGCGGCGGACCCATTCGAGTGTGTGGAATGCAAGAGGAAATTCTCCAAAAAACCGTACAGTACTCCCTAACTAAGGATGACACAGGCATACTTTTAATTGGGAAATGTTAACAAATATATGCAGTTTACTAGAAAATATATTCAAGTATTTTATATATATTTTTCCCTAGGTTTTTGGTTCAAAAAGAGGCATTCCCACAAATCAGAAATTGAAACCTTATATTTTTATAGCAATTTAGTCTGACTTTCTACCCACATTCTGTTGTATTAATTATGTTGCATATTTCCCATTTGGATTATTAATTAATCTAACTAATTGCCGTGCCTCTAATTAGGCAAAGAGAATTCCTTGAAGCTCAAATTTCAGAGCTTCTACTGTTTTGTGGATAATAATTTAAATTGTGATGCATCGCTCGTTATGAATTCACAAAATGCCAATACACACAGACTAGCTTTTTTGGTGGGCGTATGCAGTGGCCACGGCCCTGGGCATACATATATGTATGTATGTACAAATATATGGAGAAATTGTTATAAATTATGCACGAATGCGACAAAAATGGGGTTGAATTTGTGATTTGAAGGGGTAGCTAGAAGTATGGGGAGCCGGGGGAGCAGAGCAATACACAAAAGCAATTGTATAATTGCATTTTAATATGATGACTGCTGCAGTTTTAGTGCCCGCAGCATCAGCATCAGCAGTAGCAGTGGCAGTAGCAGCTGTAGCAGCAAATTAGTGAAATTCTGCAAAAAATACTCTAGATAAAGCACTTGAATTGTATTTTTTGCTAGACTTGACAAAATGTGGTCCTCCTTTTAGGCACACTTTAAATTGAATATGGAAATTATTAACTCTCCAGAAAATTTAGTTTTCCCACCTATAAGTCTCTGGATAACAAGTTATATGGCCTAAAGGAAATCATGTGCCACTTCCTAGGGCTTTATTACCCACTTCTACCTTCAGGAATGAAGCTCTACTTATGTATAATCTGCTGAACTCTGGCGTCCATCAGGATGCAGTATGCATTATAACAAACGATTCGGCTTGGCTAAGCATGGCCACAAATTATTGTTGAAATTTACAAAAAATCCAAGGAGCATTATAAATGGCAAAGTGTTTTAATTAAATGGCAATTGCAGAACCAGAGACAGAGCCAGAGCCAGAGTCAAAGTCACAGCCAGAACTAGAGCATCTTTGGCCAAAAGCCGAAAGCGATTCAAATGCATTCACCGTTTATTTATTGCCAGCGTGTGCGTGTGCTCACAGGTGGAAAATAATGAAAGCCCCCCCGCCTTGAATAAGTGTTTCAGCCATGTCTAAATTAATGCCTGCAATTAAAATGCTTAACACTCGTTGGGCCCCCGCCGGTTGGCCTACCCTCCAGGCAAATCAAGTCACTTGGCTGACCAACAGGCAGGTTCCTTGTGTCTCTGTAAGTAGACTGCGAAAAAATATAAGACCTGAGAGAGTCCTTTGTCAAAGGACACTCTAATGCTTTCTGTAAAACATTGATAAAATGTTCAAGTGTTAGCTTTAACTTAACTTGTTCCAATTAAGTAAATAATTATTATTTATAAAATTTATAAAAGTTGTTAAACTATTCTAATAATTATTAATAATTAAATAAGTTAATTTCGAACGGTGTAAAGTTGTCTTTATATTCGATGAACTTGCTGTCGACAGCTTGTGGCCATTGTAAGTGGTGGATTTTGCCTACCAAATGCATTTTCCAGCTTGGAGAAGGACTCCTTGAGGTTCTCGTAGTCCAATGCCTGAGGTCCTAAGTCCCAATGTCCAAAGTCTGCAATGTGCAATCTGCTGTGTTGCATTATCCGATCTGTGAGGGTCCGAGCCGTAGCTTTAGTTGCAATTTCTCCTTTGTTTCTAGTTGAGCCTCACAGTGGGGCTTAAATATAAGTTGAATTTATAATAAATATATTTTATAATAATTGAAAAAAATAATTTATAAAAATTTCCTTTATTTAATATTAAAAGTCTTACTAAAACTTCAAATAATAATTATTTTTAAATTACCAATGAAGAAGCCACTTACTTTGGTCCCACCATAATCTGGGCCTTCGAATCCTGATAACTATAGTCCTGTTGGGGCATTGAACATATGGCCAGGAAACCCATTTGCCTTGCCCAGAGGCAATCGAGCTGACTGATGCGCTCAACTAATTCAAGGAATGGGCTGTAAACCGCCAGCTGACTGATGTCCATCTAGGTAAGTTGGCCACACATCCCCGGACGGAGATGGATACAAGGACGAAGGGCGAAGGACGTAGGACAGTCGGACCAATAGTTACAATAATTTTCATGTAAATGGCGAAAGGAGAGACTCGAGAGTTTCGCATAAATAAACATCCCAGCGAGCAGGTGAAAATGCTAAATGCACTTGAATTGCCTGCCCAGCAAGGACTTTAAATTGCTGACAAGTTGTCTGGACAAATAGAGGAAAATTCAAACGGAAACCTAGTTAAAATTGGGAGTCCTGGAAAGAAAAAAACCTACCAAAATTCTGGTCTCTCTCTCTCTCTGTTGGCCAAAAATTTAAT